TCTTCGACTGAAACAAATGACGCCGAATGTGCTTCTAGTGGGTCTCTGAGATGAGATGATGCATTTGCCTGTAGATGGTTTAAAAAGTATAAGGACTATTCGCAGCCAGTGCGTTGATGTCAAATCCACTGAATTTCATACCTTGTCTCGAAAGTATTTGAGAACAGCAGCACGGAGCATTGAAATAAACTCCACATCGACTCCGTTTTCCCCAGCAAAAAGGGTCGTTGCTGCCAATTTTTTGCTTGGGTTTACGTCGTATAGCAGATATACTTTCTGCTTCTGCCCAGAAGCAGTGGGTAATTCTTTTATAAAAGCCTTTGTTATTAGAGACTTCAAAATTCTAGAAATTTTATTTTGAGGGATTTTAGACTCATGGCCTATGACTCTTAGTGTAGCCCCTAAGCAAATAAATAATTATTTATCTACCATCTTCTCCCGTCTTTCTAATCGCATTGTAGACTAAAATCTCTTCTATATCTGAGAGCTGCTTGATCTTACTGAAAATAAGGACAAAAACTACATAACTTTATATCGCATTCATCACGCAATTTCCACGATAATGTCCTATCATGGTTAACTAGAACATCGAGGAGTCCCTCTTTCTGCAGAGAGTTGAGAATCGGCAGTATTTCAGTCAGTGAGACGTCCTTAAATTCGTTAACAAAATGCTTCTGAGTGAGCATTCCATCTGCTTGATTAAAGAGGTTAAGGACACTATAACATATCCAAATAATAAAAATACCGGCTCCGGAGCGCATGCGACTCATGGTCTAATACATCAGTCATTACGGCAGAGGCAAGAATGCGATCGCTTGTAATGCGTCTGGAAAAGGTCGAGACCGATTGGCTATAGTAGAAACGTAAATAAATATATATTAAAACATAAACAAATTATGAGATAATAAAATAAATTAACAATGCTTGACTCGATTTTCCGTGGCGCTCATTTTGGTTGCTGGTGCGCCACTTACTTCCATGACCTCCATCCACTGCCACGATAAGCTCATTAATGAGCGA